GGGACAGGCGCAAAAATGCATCGGGGTTAAATATGTTTTGTGAGATCTCAACCCTTCCCCTTTACCTCTAGCCAATGTAGAATAAAGAAACACATATAGCAATACGCACAGTTAAAAATATCTACTTATTTCTATATACAAGAGTTGACTGAGTGACCTATAGTTGCTTACATCTACGTTGTTTGGACTCTAGTGGATACGTATCTCATTGACAATCATCCCACATCTCCTTATTTTTATATAGGGTATAACATATGTCACCCTGATTTCTTCCATCCGGCAGTAAAATTAACCCATGTCGTTTTGCCTATATTCGAGATCTGGGACTATTATACTTTAGTTTGGTCACTATATTATGTCCCAGGCGAGACATACGCTTTCATACACAGACATGTCCGGTCAGAATGACTGTGGAGGTCAAATCCAATGCAATGCCATGTTCTTTGTATTCTTTGGTAGTTCTTAGGTTGTCTGCTGTAGGGCAAGCCAATAGTGTTGCATCTATCCAATGTACTCTTTGTCCAGTGGAAGTCAAAATTTCCCGTAAATCCCACCCTTCCGGCCCTGGTTTAAACATTTTGCAGAATCTACCAACAGGATTCATTGTTGAGCTGTTCTTTTTTTGAATATCAAATATGCCCAAAATAATTGATACTAGCCATTAATCAAGCAACAATCATTCAAGTAATCCTATTTGAAATTTGCCTTCTTGCATCTTTGAATACAGAAAACTCCATTTTGAAACGGGTTTCTCTCTTTTTACAATCTATTCACAAGCGGAACTTTGGTCCTTAATCCACGTTGAGGATAAATAAGTTCAAGTTAGGCCATTGAAATAATTTATTGAATTGCACTAATCTTTCAATTGTATATTGGTTCCCAATTTCCGTGCATTGTGCATTTCAAATAATAAATCAATTCTCTGATATTTCATAAACAGCGATAATATATACTATATGCATAAAGAAACACTTTGGAAAGCTTGGAGATTTGTTTTCAGATGTACTCAAAAGACCTCAAGAAAGATTTTTAGTTGAATTACTTTTTATTTGTATACTTTGCACACTATATATTACCGAGCTTTTGCAATGAGCACAAACAAGAATCTATAGATCAAGTTACACACTGAAAGTAGAGCTCTTGGGGTCCAGAAAGATGTGTCCGTAATGAACTACATATGTAATCCATTTTAAACAGTACTTAATAAAAATTTGAGGATCGCGAAGTATTATTGCCTTTTCAGATTACATTAAACAGTCATAGTCCGATTCTATTCAATACGAAACGTACTTCTCTTAAAATCCCAACGGAAACATGTTTCCTTTTGATATTTTACAATCAATTTCGAATCATCAAAACAGCTTACGAGATCCATTATCCAACACTTGACAATTCATTGTAAAATGCAAATTTTGGAAAATCGATTCTTCTCCGATAAGTTTGATCTTAATTGTTAATAAATATGCACACTAGCATCTTTGTTTTGTTTCCACTATGTCAACTAAATATAAAAGATATGGATACAGAAAATATAAATGGTTGTTCTCTTCATATCCTACTTGTACCCTTTTTAATAGTGAGTTTCAAGCCAATAAAATTAATGTGGGTACCAAAATAACCTTTACTCTGTTTTTAAATACTTGTTGACCGGTGTAAAGATTTGTAAGTTGAAAGCTAAGATTAAAAAAAAAAATAATGAGAATCACTTAAACATCCTACCAAGTATCACAACAGTAGACTGAAGAGGTTTCAGTATGTAACGCGATGAAAATTTTATCACGTCATATATACTAACTGAAGTGATCTATTACTTTAATTCTATTCACATGTTTAGTACTCTTTTTGTTCCCTCCAAAGTGCAAGAACACATTTGGAGTAGGGTGGATCGGTAGGTATGTAAGGACTTTGTCAGTAGATCAGTGGGTTTAGCTTCGATATTCTTTATCACGGCATAGTTATATTGTTTATAATTGTGTTACTTGTACTTGTGTTTTAGTTATATACTATATATATATACCGTCTATATGTTATATCTAAATACTATAATATAAAATCAAGATGTGGTATGATTGCCAATGAGACAACTCTCCACCAGAGACCAAATGACATAGAAGTTAACAACTATAGGTCACCATACGGCCTTCAACAATGGGCAAAACCCATACCGCATAGTAACCTGGGACAGTGGTGCAACAGTATAAAATAGAAAACTAGAGGCTCTCAATAGCCTGTGTCGCTCACCTGATTCTACTTTGGTTTTGGAAATCATGTAAAAATAGATTAAAATCATAACAGATACCCTAATAATGATTGAGTTTTAGTTTTGGTTTAATATTGGCCCCGTAATTTAATCAAAAGCAGAAGATTTTTGTAAAGTTTACAGAAATTACCAATAAACTCATTGAAATTGTAGAAAATGACTTTATAAGGACAATGACAAATAAGCTACAAAGTAACAACACTAGGTCAGCACCTCAACAGAAACATTCATACCATGTTTGGTTTCAATCCATTAAGCGGTTTTCTAGAAGAAGACATTTGTATATATTTCCCATAGGGTCCTTTGTTAAACTAAGTCCCCCGTTGGCAGCCATCTTGGTTGATGGATTTGCTACAAAGTAACAACACTTGGTCAGCACCTCATAAGGAACATTCATGCCATGTTTGGTTTCATTCCATTCAGTGGTTTTTCAAAAGAAGACTTTTGTATGTATTTCACGTAGGGTCCTTTGTTAAACTAAGTTCCCCGCTTGCAACCATCTTGGATGATTGATTGGCTACAAAGTAACAACACTTGGTCAGCACCTCATAAGGAACATTCATGCCATTTTTGGTTTCATTCCATTCAGTGGTTCTCTAAAAGAAGACATTTGTATGTATTGTCCATAGGGTCCTATGTAAAACGAAGTCCCCCGCTGACGACCATCTTGGATGATGGATCGGCTACAAAGTAACAACACTTGGTCAGCACCTCATAAGGAACATTCATGCCATGTTTGGTTTCATTCCATTCAGTGGTTCTCTAAAAGAAGACATTTGTATGTATTGTCCATAGGGTCCCATGTTAAACGAAGTCCCCCGCTGGCGGCCATCTTGGATGATGGATCGGCTACAAAGTAACCACACTCCATATCTGGTAAAAATAGACTTTTCTGAAACTTACAATCAGATTGGAATACAGATCATGTGTCCACGCTTCGCTTACAATGATCTCTACTTTCTGTTTAAGGGATACTTCCGGATCCTTTGGCTTAGTCGTATTGATACACAACTTAAAAAAATTAGGGCTAAATAAAATTGGCCGATGTATTTATTGGAAGAACAGACAGTAGAACGGAACGTTATCATATCCTTGTATGCGAAATGTGGACATGTTCTGTATTTAATCAGAACATTCTGAAATATTGCTATTCTGCAAAACTTCGTCCCAATGTGGGCATGAGAAAAAGCCTCAGCACTACGATCTGAACCCAAAGCTGTAAACATGGTAAAAGAACAGTCAATCTTTCAACAATTCATTACACTAGAAAGAGACATTATATGTACTGGGATATTATATATATATATATAGCATATATATAGCAGTAATATGAGCTAGTCTTATACTTAGCTGAGATTGCCAAGGTTTTATGTGCCAATTAATTAATTTGTTGATTATCATTTTCTTGGGACACTGTATCCCTATCATAGTAAATTGTAAAATTGTAACAGCGATAACGTTTTAATCATATAACTATGTCTATTCATCTGTATAAGATTGGAGCTTTATTGTTGTTTGTGTTAGATGGACACATTATTGGATAAAACTCAAAACGAAAAGGTATACCCGAAACAGTTACCAAAACTAAACCAAACAAATATGTGTATAATGATTATAGTCATTAAGCTTCTCAATATATGATTTGTTCCTGGTTGAGGTCTATTCAAATACATATAAACGTGATTTTATTGTTAAATATTGTTTAAAACAAGGATAGAGTCTTATTAAATGTCTTAAGCAAATTGTTAAGTTTACAGTGTGTACATGTATATAAAAAAAAGATAACGAACATTTAAGGCGTATCTGAAAATATCGATCTGTAACTACGACATCTTAGCTATTTCAAACACTTTCAGTTGTCAACCTAATAATGTCATATTTGTGCATCTTCTGAAGAACCCCTTAAAGATGGCCTGTAACCGACGAATTTTTTTTTCTTGCGGGTAGAGGATATGTGCTAACCGATTACACAATTTGCTTTCCTGGTTTGAACACCTGAATTAATAAGTTTAAAATGAGACTTTCATGGGTTATGGATGAGACTTTCATGGGTTATGGATGAGACTTTCATGGGTTATGGATTAGTGTTTTTGTATCCCTATGTTTTTCCTTTTACATAACTTCCCTTCAAAGGAAGAATTAAAGATTTTTATATAATACACGAAATAGCAAAATCTAAGAAACCATGTTTTCGTCTTTTTATTACTTCAAACAGGAACTAAAGAGATTGATGATGGGTGTAGTATTTATTAGTATAAAAATTAGATGTGGACATTTATGTGATAGATATGAACTATCATAATTTAATGGCATGATGTTGGTCAGATTCATTCAATTGTATTCGTTTAAAAAATACAAAATAATGTACATACATATTAAGTATGTTTGTAAGATATTCAAGGATGGGAGCTGCTCATCCCAATCGCTTCAGTATCAAAGTCCTCAGTACCCTGCAGGGAACAACCAAATCATGGAGAGGATTGAACTAAGTGTATGTGCCAGAATGCATTAATGTACATGCATTGGAATGAAAATAATCACAGATGGACTTTATTGCATGGTATACAAAATTCAGCACAAACTGCATGAAACCTAACAGTTTACATTTATAAAATTACTGGTGCATAAGGGGACCTCGGATCTCAGAACTAGTGAAACCTTATTTATATTGTGAGATCTACATAAACAAAAAATTACTAATGTTTTATTACATAGCAATTGATTTACTTCAAATACATACCGGATTCACTAGAAAGGCGGAAGCAAAAATGATGTAGATCGTCCTTTTATCCAGATTTCCCATGATCATGTATTTTGCTATAATATCACAAAAAATCATAAGAGTAGATATATAATCAAATCCACTATAGATGACAGAAATCTGTAAATCCCATCCGAAAGTCAACAAAATTAATGTACCCGTCTGAAATAAATTACACAACACACTTTCACATATTCATGAAAGGGATGTACATTTCAGTATTTTGTAATTGACATTTTCCTGTCACTAGTCGGCTTGTTGAGATGATTCAGAAAATTTGTGAAGAGGGGACACAATCAACACTTATAATCCACCAACATTTGTTATTTACTTCCGTCTTTGTAAAAACCATTTAGCATGGTCACATGACTTTTTACAACATTTAAAGTTTAATAATTTTAGTCTCACTCTGTAAAAGTTACTACCTGTTTCATTACATGTATATCTGATGGACTAGACTTATAGAAAGGTTATAAACAATTCTGTATCTCGAGGGATATATATATGCATATGACTTGATAATATTGTTATGTATATATACTAGTAATATTATTTATAGTCATGTGCACATTATTTCAAATAAGCATATAACAATATGTTGGCGTTTCTCTTTTTTCTTGGAATTTATTCATTAGCGGATAGGTTTTTGTTATCAATAATTTATCTTATTCATTTATGAATAAAAGGAAACGTGGGCATGAATGGTACAGGGTCTGGATGGAGGGTCCTTCATTTCTGTATTCATTTATTTTTTAGGAAATTTTTCCCTATTCTTTATACTTTTTGCCCATTATTCTCTATTCTTTATATTTTTTGCCCGTTATTCTATATTCTGTAAACCCCTATCCACACCCTCACGCATGGTATACGGCAGCAACCCATCTACAGAAGTAACCACGTGTCATCTAGGACAACGCATGTCAACATATTTCTGTCAAGCTATAAATCACCAAGAGCCTAAAATAAGTTGTGAATACATTAAGAGACAATTAGTCTATTAATAGATTTATCTCTTAATTATTCATTTACGTATTTTATGTAGTTATTCATTTTTCTGTAATCGTTGCATACGACCATCCAATATCTTCATGCCGGCCTGTTACTTTTGCGCGACAAAACCTTTTACGCTTGCGCGAATTTACCTGTTGAAAAGTATTCATATACGTTTGTGCTAATTAATTATATTTTCTAATTTAAAGAATAATTAAAAATTAGTCAACTGAAATAGAAAAGTGGTTTAAACACAGTCTGGAATTGCGATTGTCAGTTCTTCCAGCAGAGAAAGTTTAGGGGAGTTTTGTAGATGTCAAATGCTACTGAGAATGAAAGCCGCAAACTATTTACCAGCTATACTTAGTTGAAAACTACGTCACAAGTGAGTATATAATACCGACAAGAATGTGTGGACGACTGTTCCAAATGAAAGCACAAAACGTACCAACAACAAGAGACTCAGTGTGAAAGGACTTACTTACTATATTAATTTTATATATTGTTCCTATCGAGATTACACATACTGTGTTTTATTCCAGACTCAGGTTTTTATACTTAGAATGTTCCTTTCCATGAAATACAAACTAAATCTTATTCAAAACTTTGCAATTCGACTTACATGTATACATAGTGCTTTTAAATGTTTATATAAACGAAGAAAGACTTCTTTGTTTAGATAAAATTATATATCAATATAATTGTGTTTTAACCCCCCAAAAAAACCCTAAAGTTCGGGTTATTCTCGGGATAAACACAAAGATAAAAACTCAAGTAAATTGCAGATTAATTCGCGCAAATGTTATACCATTTGTTCGAGAAAACGTAAAACATGTCAAAATTCAAATTCGCCCCTTTATGCCACAAATTCTGAGGCAATGGTTATTTTTAAAACAATTGGCTAATAGTTGGTCTGTATTTGTATATATTAATATACGAATGCGTCTAAAAGTCGAAGGGAATGAGGAAATCCTAAACAGTAGACTTTCATCCATAAAAGACCATAAAAGTGTTGGAGAAGACTAGAAATTCTGTCTTTTTCACGTAAAGTTAAGTAAGTTTATGTAGCATATAGTAATATGTCACATTTAACATGTTTAAGGGGAAAGGTTGTGGTCCAGGAACAAAGCCCTAATAAAGATACATCACTGGCACGTCTGTGGTAGCTCTTTTTCTACGTATTTTTTAATAGAAAAAAAGGATATGGGGTATCCATCAATGACACAAAATCAGTACATGCACAGCGAAAACACACAAAAAGCAAAGGAACAGCGCTTGTATTGTTGTTCTTCAGCTCAAAGTCACAGTTAGGCCAGCTTATAAGAAACACAAATTATTTTAGTTGTTTTTCACATGAATGCTTAAAAGGCGTCAATGAAACTGTCTTTTACTGACAAACGCATTCCTGACTAAAGAGTCATCTCCCTTAATCACAGGCTTTCCTTTTTCTTTTATGGCTATACTATTTTTATTACGGAATGGTGACAAAGGAATTGCTTCACTAATACTCATAGTCACATTTCTTGTTTAACACTGCCACTCTGTTTTCAATTTACTTTTATAGATGAAATTGTTTTGCATATTATGCTCAGTGTGTTTTACCACCATCTGTAGGCTTTTGTTCAATATTTCAGCACGAAAATTTCAACATGTATCAAGACAAAAAAGGAACTGTGCCTTCATATGTTACTTGGAAAAATCAATTGATTCAAAGGAGCGCCCCGCTTATTAAAAGCCCGAGGTCTTAAACATGCCAAATTTTTGAGACACAATTTTAAATCTGCAACTCTTACTTTTTGGAAATTTGTCTATAAAAGGGACAGAATATGTAGGAAATCATTATTCATTGGGAAAAAACAAGTACATTTTATTTTAATCTTATGGATATACGTACAAGAAGTCACTAAATACCGAAGAGTCAGTAGGTTCATTTTTTTCCGACCGGATTTAAAGAATGTCAGTTAATTAAAGTGGGTTATACAGGTCATTTCGATATAATTTCCGGCAAGTAATGTCATGTATGTTTTATAGAGATGGACAGTCATGTTCAATATATAGAGGCTTATTTAGAAAGATCGAAGCTCGAAAACTCGATAGAACTAGTCAATTTCGGGGAAATTCGGAAAGTCGACGACCTTGCTCCGGAAGTTTGTGATTTGGAATACTAATACATTTACTAACACTTAACAAAGTAAATGAAAGTAACAAATAGATTTGGAGTGTCCGAAGCGCTTTTATGGATTGACCCTCATAAGAAGGGATCCAAAGATAATATCCAACCTAAGGCCACCATGCAGCTTTGCCTGAGGAAAATGGAATCTTCAGTAGTTTCTTAATTTATAAATTTATCAACAAAGAATATAAGAAAGATATATTATAAATTGTATCCGTGCAAATGCAATGACAAACAAGCTGATGATACCCTCGTGAATTAGCACTAAACAGCTCTGAAAATCATTCTACCACTAACCAGCAGCAGCAGTATCGACCCAGTGCTAGAAAATGAATACAAAATGCTTTATACAGTGAAGAGGCGGATTTAGGGTGGGCAGGGAGCCCAGCCCCCCTTAAGGAGCTTCATTTCAAAACTTGCATCTGCAGTTGTTACGTTCGAAGCACTTTTCTGGATTTACCTTCAACAGGAACAGTACGTCTTCTGAGTTATTGAATGATGATTGATTTTTTATAATAATCAAAATGTATGCCGACCGCCAAATCTCTTATGGTTTAAACTTTTAATATACTTAAAATTTCATTTTTATGAAAAAAATCAACTGATTTTGTAAATCCATTTTTGGGCAAAAATTGGTCACTTATATTTTTTTTACTCAACAGAGGCAGAACTTTACTTATTTATATTTATAGACCAAGACAATATATTCAAGTAACACTGAATTAATGTACAGTACGCATTGGTGACAGTTTTGTCCTCACTGAAGGCCGTACGTGAACCTGTAGTTTACGTTTTCCGTTTTCAATGGAGGATATTTGTCAAATTGGAAATCATACCACCCATCCTCATTTCCATATCCGTAAAAAGAAAATATTTTTCCTATTGCGATAGTATTTCGTAAAAATGACTAGCCAACGTAGATACAAATGTCTTGTCTTAGGGAGGGGTAAATCGTAAATAGTAAAAACTCAGATTAAAAAATTGTCTGAAACTGACTTTTACAAGATGCTTGATTTCTTGATTGTCAACACATTTGTTGCGTATGGAGGACGTGTTTTTGAACAAATAATTGGCTTTCCCTTGATAATCAATTGTGCTTCTCTTCTTGTCGACTTGTTCCTTTATTCATATGATGCAGATTCATATAGGAGCATCTTCTGAAGAATGAAAATGTAACTTTAACGCCGTGTAGTTGATGTCCACTCACTAAATAATGCAAAGTTTGGTAGTTTTGCCTCATATCTTGACTTAATTACTTGTAGAAATTGACAATGAAGGTCGGATGAGAACAAAACCTTACGATATCAGACGATTTCAGCTTTCCAATTGTGAACTTTCATGTATACTGTGTGTTCTTTGTCTTTTGGTCGTTTTTCGTTTTTTGCCATGGGGTTGTCAGTTTGTTTTCGTCCTATAGGCTTGAGTTCCCTTTTGGTATCTTTCAATGCAAGACGTTTTAGCCACACTGCCAGTTCGGTCGTAGTCGTAACTGCCATACTTTGTAAACTCGTTTCGGCCATGGTTTTTTGTCGGGCCTGCGACTTCTGTCGCAGAAAGCTCGACATAGGGATAGTGATCCGGCGGCGGCGTTAACAAATTTCTTAAAAGCTTAATACTTCAGAAGATAGAAGACCTGGATGCTTCATACTTTGTATTTAGATGCCTTATGATATGTAGTTTCCGTCTGCCATATGTCCAAGTTCTTGACCTCATTTTCATGGTTCAGTGACTACTTGAAAAAAAGTTAAGATTTTTTGTAATGTTAATTTCTCTCTTATTATGAAAGTAGGATAAATATATTTGGTATGTGCGTATCTTGCAAGGTCCTCATGCCTGTCAGACAGTTTTCACTTGACCTCGACCTCGTTTGATGTATGACCTGGTTGTTGGTCACCTCTGTCATATTTATTAGTTTCGGGGGAAACTAGCGGTAGTTTAGATAAAGTCCAAGTCGCTGGAAAGTTTACATATTTATTTCGCATCCATATATTTCAATCATAAAAACATAACTGAATAACAACATAAAAACAAATCTAAAATACAAATTCAAAAGACTGATTGACCTGCGGAATATCAACCAATCAAATATCTTTTCATTAAATAATATTAATTCGCGTTTTGCCGAAAGCGGGGATTACGGATTAAAAACATGCTTCGTATAAGTTTGTCAAGAAT